ATCATAATTCTAGAAGCTATAGGTGTGATATTAATTGGCCTGTAGTTACTGACGTCTGTTTTCGAGCCAGATTTGTGTTTAGGCATAATAAACGTTGTTTTCCATACATCAGGGTAAGTTTGGGTTTCTAAGGACATTGTGAATATTTTGAGCAGGAGTAAGGGAATGTCAGGGCCACCATATTTATAAAAATAGGATGATATGCCGTCAGTACCGAAACCTTTTGAGCATTTAAGGGTTCTTATAGTTTGTTTAATGTTAGTATGGTTAAATTCAATAGTGCTAATTAAGTTTGGTGTGTGTGGAGATGGAGTTTGTGCCACATTATTAGCAGGGTGTATATTGAGTAACTGGACTGTGGGCTTAAGGTAGTTACCTGCAAAAGTTGAGTTGAATAATTCACACATGTCTGCGGAATTAGTACATAGCCTACCTTTGTCTATGAGGAGGGGAATGCTGTGATTTTTGCGATTCATTCGCTTCTTTAAGATTTCCGTGAGTGCATACACTCTAGCAGGACTGGCTACTGCGATGCGTTCTTCGTTTCTCATACGGAAATTTCGAGCTTGTGAGATGGAACTAAGGGTGTTAAGTATTAAACCTAGTGTGCCAAAGTCGTGGTGTTTGAAGTAACTTGTTGAGAGTTTCTTCAGTTTCATACGATCCTTTGGTTTTATGAATGACTTCCTATGTGGGGACAGCTCAAGTGTTTGCAGTGGAATGACAGCATCTAAGCATGTGTTCGAGTTATGGTAGAAGATGCTCAGAGCTCTCGAGAGGTCATCAGTGGTGAAGTATTCGCTCCATTCGGAGGATCTTAGCACTGATTCTACTAAGGTCCAGTTTGCCTTACTATAGTTCCTATATAGTACTTGTTGTGAAGTGGAGGTATGAGCTGCATTGCTATTCAGTGGAAGTGGCAGAGCACACATTACTGTTTTGTGGTCACTACCTGAAAACTTAGAACCCACTAAGATTGAGAGGGGGCTTATATCGTGACAGAATATTAAGTCTAGTACATTGTCACCTCTTGTAGGGATAGTGACAGTTTGTTTCCAGCCGAAGATGTCCAGTGTCCCTAAGAGCTTGTCGTATTTAGTTGGCCCTTTTAATAAGTCCCAGTTGATTTCGGGTAGGTTGAAGTCTCCACATATGATCTTATGCTCGTATGGAAGAGTGGATACTTGCTCCAGTACATTTATAAGTTGTGTCTCGTAATCACTAAAGGTGCCAGGTGCTCTGTAGATACATCCTATTAGTAGTGTAGCACTTTTGAAGTGTACGTTGACCCATAGGGTGTCGTGCATGTCATTGAGTTCCTTATTTTCTAGCTGTAATACAGTAAGTGTGTTCAGGAAGTACATTAGGCAGCCTCCTCCCTTACCACTCTTCCTGTCACAGCGAAAGTGTATGTACCCATCGATGCTTATCTCTTCGTCTGGTATATTGGAGTGACACCAGGATTCAGTAATAATGATTATGGGGGGTTTGTATACCAGCGTGTGTGCCCTGAGCATCGGTAGTTTGTTAAGGATAGATCTAGCATTAATAAGTATTAAGTAGAGTTGAGATTTGAAGTAGTGTTTGAAGTGTTTAAGCTCGTCAATAAGGTTCAAGTGTGGATCGGCATCCGCTGTTTCCGCGTGGCATATCAACCCTGTGTTGCAACTAGTTTGTCCACCTATGTCTGTCAAGTTACTGTCCATTTTTTTTAGTGGGTAATGGGTTTGATTATTAGATAAACTATACGGTGACCTGGTTCTAGGCTTGGATAGGTTGGAGACTTGGGTTGAGGATTTTATTTGGCCCATGCTTGTATAGTCATTGGGTGTGATTAATAGTTCCGTGTGTACTAGCCCATGTCGTTATCAGTGTTGGAATGGGTTATGCATTGCCTTGAGATGAAGTAACACTTTAAACAAGCCCACAATCTAGTATTATCGCTGGTTGTAACGATGGCCCATGGCATGGAATGTTCTCGAGAACAAATAATATCCCCCCACCATCAATAAATAGAAAGAGTTATGAAATACCTTGGAGTAAACCCAAGTTTTGGAAAGGGTTAACCTCATTTGAAACTCCAGAAGCCACGAAGATCTACACAGCACCTATAAGAAAGGATATTTCACGGAATACAGCAACCAAGAATGAATTTCAACGTGTATCTAGATCGAAACGTAATGAAACCACCAAAGAAACTATTATCACACATTAATCTCATTAGTAACAATTCCCGTGGAGTCGTCAACTAATTAGTGAGACATCAGTAATCGAAGAGAACAAAGACAGAGCAGAGATAGTGGAAGATTACCTCGTCAGATTGTTCATACAGGAGTCAGAACAAACCATAGCAGCAGATTCAGATTCGCAACTAGAAAACAGGATAGGCTGCGATGACATCTACCGAAGAGACATGCCGATCCCTATGGCAAAAGGCACACGGAAGAATCAGTGGGAATTTGATGACCTTAAGAGTGTAAGTGACATCAACAAGCCACAAACGCATTTAAATAACCTGTCATGTTCGTCGGGGGGACGGTTGCATCCAATCAACGTAACGAGATACGCAACCATTGGCTCTAAGCATCCAAGCGGCACCGAATATGATACACTGGGAGAGGAATAGTTACTTCAGTTTAGATGCACACCGGCCTGGTTGAATTTAAACCGCAGCACTGTCAGACAGTATCAGCTTTCAGATCTAGGTTTTTGTGGGCACCACGCTAGTTGTTTACCTGAGTTGTCGCTAAAGTGTTCACCCTGAAATATACATTTCTGGTGACGTCAAAACTAGAAAACTGTATCTGACCAGCAAGCCCTGATATCAAAAACAGTTTCTGTGGGGGCCACTCCAATGACCCTTAGAATGACCAGTCGAGGAGAAACTTAGCTATTTACACCTCTCCCTGAGGTGGTTAGGTCGCCGACCATGCACATGGTCCGGGTTCGATCCCCCCAGCGCACCGATATTTATGGTCGGCCTGTAAATTTGGGCTACCGATATCCATGCTGAAAATTCCATACTTGTACTGAAAATGTGGTGTGGCATCAAGCTGTAATCAAAATAAAAAAGGAGGGAGGGTGGCGCATGCTGATCAGCAGATTTGGTAGTGGTCACAAATGTGAATCGCTCCGATCTGTAGGACAGCAACATGCATTATTTTGGCAGCTCGAGAACTAAACATGAGTTTAGATACTAAATGTATAAAAAAAATAGACTTTAAAAAAAATTAATTGAAAAAATAAAACAATAATGACTGTACAGTTTTAGCTTGTAAAAAAATAACAATGCTTTCGCTCCTAACATCTACAAGCCTGCTCAGTTTCTTGTCAAGATGCTATCCCATGGGCCATACACAAGTTCGCCAAACATCTAACAGGTTCTAGTCCTTCTAGCCACTTCTCTCTGAAATGTTACTTATATACTTCACAATAATCCTTCTACCTAATTACTATTATACTCTATTTTATCTCAGCTTCCTAGGACTTTAATGAAGCTGAAATTTTTTCCCTCTTCTCATTTACACCCTTTTCTCGCGTAAAGTTCGGTTGCTCTGATGATAAAAACAACAACACTCATGTTTGAGAATAAATATATTTTCATAGAAAGCGTCATAGTTTTCCATGGTAAGACCAATATGGTTAGCATCATACATTGCAAATGTGTATTATCATTTCAAGTACTACATAGCTTCTTGTATTTATCTTGTATATATACTTTTAATAATGTATTATTCATAATTGCATTCTATACCATTTTGCAGCTGCGCCAGATTTTCTTCAATTCCTAAAATAGCGTCCAAGCATTTGAAGGCATAGCACTCACACAAATATATGTTGTTTATCGATTGGTCATAACTATCATCGGGAAATGGAACGAATTTCGGGTTGTCGCTCAACTTCGATGGTGACCTTCGTGAAATATTTACAAATTAACATTTATAAGAATCTGTTCTGATTGCCTGTACTATAACTCAACAATATGAACTTTTTGAAAAAGTGACAATGTATGCTAATTAACAATTGTTATTCGTAACATAATTGATCGTGCCTGTAAAAATGGCATGCATTTCATGTAAACTTACCCGTTTATGCGAAATATATATTATTATTATTATTATTATATGTTAGATAGACTTGGGACAGAATCACAACGTTCAACATTCCCCGGGATTACTTGGAGATTAATCTGTCTTCTTACATTTCCACAAGGCAGAATGTCTGAGAAGACATGGAAACAAAGTTCTGAAGCCAGTATGGAACCATACAGCTGTGTATTACTGGTTCTGCCACCGAGTCGTAAACTCTTGAAACGAACTTTCGGAAAAAAGTGGTTTTGACGAACTCCTTTTGAAGAAAACCAAAGCTACGGCAATCGAGAGGTGGGACGAACTACGCAGATGTCTACCGAAGACCGGGAACCTTTACCTCGCAATCAAGAGGCGAGAACAAAGAAATCAAACTGGTTTGCACTAGCTCGTAAAGCGATATTGGATATTCTATATCAGTTGGGTATTGGATAACGGACGCCAACAGTTGATTTGTTCAAAAAGAGACCAGACAAGTGTAGAAAACGATTATAAAAGAATTAATAGAGGCCTAGAGCCTTCTTTCTTCAAACAAAATCTGAATGTATTATTTCTGCTTGAGTTCAACGAGATGAGAACTCGAAGTCTTTCAATCTTTGCAGCCAAATGGCTTCCAAGAATCATAAGTGAAAAATTCAAGTCCTCACCATAGGAGAAAATAAAGGTCATCGGTAGTGAAATGCTCTGTAAATCATGTCTATAAAAGATATGATTGTTTAGCACACCATTTGGCTTGATGCTGTTGAGAATCGTTTGTCTACTCTAAAACTCTAGGTCGCGTGTAGTGTGTAAACGTGTCCGATTTATGATATGAAGGACGTTGGTCAGCAACAATGCTTGAGTCCTTTGATGGTCCAGTCCTCCAAAATCAATGGTATTCCTAAGGTTTTAGTAACCGTTTCCCCTAGGGTGGCTTGTATCTCGTAAATTAATACAAACGGATTACCCGAAAAAACTAAGAGAGATTGACTTGAAAATTAATGACGCTACAAATAAAAGTCCTGAAGCATCAGTACATCTCTCAGAGAATCCATGTAACTTGTTGCTTTGGTTTGATAATGATAATCTTCAGCCCTATATCTAGGATGCAAGAAAGTACTGGATATCCTGTCGCAGACAGATACTAAAACAGACTTTTTCGGACGTTCGAGTACTGTTGTTCGCGTATGATCTATTTTCTTAAATAATTAAAGATAGGCATGGGCAGATATCGTTAGTTTGTTTCAGAAAAACAATTTATACTTGGGTAGGTTGAGATTTTATCATTATTTTGTTAGCTGAAATCGGAGACTCCATTCATGAGTTGTCTGCTGTGCAAGTTCCGAGAGGTAAAATGTTCATTACAGAGAGACAAAAGAATCTGTTGGTAATTATATTCACCGTGTAAAAATGACCATTTTTTCAGGATTTGCGTCAGAAACTGAGGGAACAAAACCTAAATCTGAGTCGTAAAGAGGAACTTTTGGAAAAGGTGTACAAGGAGTTCCGAGTTGACGTGAGTTTGAGTAACACAACGCTTTGAATATTCACACAACAGGTCAATGAGCAAAACATTAAAGTTCGCCTACTCGAAGAAGCTGAAAATGTCCTAGAATTCTTAACAGAATTTGTTGATTCGTTGAAATCCTTAGATCCAGCTTTACAGTTGTACTCGAGTTTCAGAAAATTTATCCTCGGAGGGTAAGTATTCTATAATTTGCTCCGGTTGAATTTTTCTCAATCTGCCACATTAACTTAATAGATGGAATGAAAACCTGACATCTTTGTTCACCCTATTACTTGACTAGAAGTCCAGCTTCATAGTAACTTTTTAGCGAAATTTTCTGAAGAAAGCAATAGATGTGTGGGATTTATGTATCTGAAAATTTAAGGTACATGTTAATATATTACCTTCGACCAGTTAAAAATTATTAGTTGCCATTGTATTTTAGCGCATGATACTCGGTTGTGTTAATGATTGTCAATTCCTGTAGACCTTTAGGTACATTCGCTAACCATTTTGCCAGGTTTTATTTGCATTGTCTCTACAAGTGTGTATAGTAACTGCCTCTATGAATGACGTCCTCAGGCGTTTCCATTCCTTGAAACCTGCCCAGTCACCTAGCCCAGATGGTGTTTCTGCTATTATCCTCAGAAAATGTGAGGACATTTGATGTCAGTGAATCATTTTCCACTATGTTTGCTAATGTTGTGCCTGCTTCGTGAACAAAATATAATTGTTTCTGTGCCTGAATCGTCTAATGGATCAATTTTTTTAGTTTAGTCATATGGCTATCGGCATCGGTGGCACAGCGGTGGAATGCTCGCCAACTACTCGAGTGGTCTGGGGTTCGATCCCCGGCCACAGACGTGCTCCTTTACCTCGTTAAGCCGGTAATAAGACTGGCAAAGAGGAAAGATTGGCCATGAGGCTAGCAACACCACCTCGTAAAAGTAAACACTGCTACGGAAACTTCAAGTCTCTAGCTTAAAGCCATATGTTCCACTGGGAAACTTAAAGGAACTAAAACAAAATTGACTTCATTGGAAAACTATTCATTGTTACTGTTAGTTCAAATATTCTTTCTACCTCAGAGAGTATTGAAGTTTGGAAGGAAGAGTAAATTTGCGTGTACTGTTGCCTAGGCTTATAGACTTATCATTCTCTTCAAAACTTTAACAATGCTAAGGACTAAATTATCATATCACATTAATAGCGAAATTGTGAATAACAGTGGTTCTTTTTCCGGCTAACAAGCCAGTTTTTTGGAGGTTGGAATGGAATAAAGTTGCACCCAGCAAAATGTCTCCGTAAGCTCTTGCATGACATTAGAAGATTTCCACGTAAGATTCAAGCTATCTGTGAATAATTCTATTTCATTTTGTTAGAACTTGTTTTGTCATAAATTTGTTTAGTAATATGTGGTTTATGAGTAAATGTGAAGAAAATTGCTGATGTATATTTTCCCAACAATAGTGTCATATTTAATACTTTTTATCTATTTGAATATAACCAACAAGAGGTTTTATGCATAATTCAAAACTTCTAATCTATGGGAATAAGGAATAACAGTGTGGTCTTTCTGTTCCAATTTTAGTAAGCATTAAAGAGTTAAGGGTAGTTGAACCAAAGCCTCGCATTAGTCCATGAAGTAGTCGATAGTTAGTTTAAGCCACGGGGTACTAAGAACCAATGGCTAAAGAATGTTGGGGTTATTGATCAAAATCCTTGTCATTAGCGCAAGTGGATTCACTCTTTGTGATCTCCTGTGTCTCTTAAATTCCGACATTTTTCCATGTTACTATTCTTTCTCCAACACGTTTCTGTTCAAAATAGTTCTTTTGAATTTTTCGTGCTCGAGAACATCTCCCAGTATGGCTCAGTAAAGGTGTAGTGAAAACCATTAACAGTTCGATATTGAACCATCTGGTGCAAACCGGCCACAAAGCCAGCCAGCATTGAAGAATCCTTCTCTATAATCTACCGGGTGCTTAATAAATTGCCAAAATCATCGAAGCACCGCATGCTGCAAACAGCAGAGGCTATTGCAATTCGCCTCAAACAACCAGTGCTCTGTGTTCAAAAGAAGCAAGTCCAGTCAGCCACTACTACTGCCCTGGCTGGCCTTCAGTAGAGACTATAAATTCATGAATTTGTAATATTATCTTTCCTAATTTTCCTGACATTCAGCTTATTTTATGTTGATGCTATTGAGCTGTAATCTATCAATATTATTGATTCGATGTTATTTAAACAGCATTAATGTTGTTCATAACACTAATTCATTCATTCACTATAATGTATACATATAACTGTAGAGCCTGATGATGAAGTTATCGAAAAGAGTACTCTTTGTTCGGTATCCATTCTTTTGAAAAATTTTCTTTTGTTGACGTTTGTGTACTACCTGGTGTGTGGTAGCGTAAACTGCTGCAGTTCTTTGTAAAGTTTTATGTTGAAACTCAGACAGTCAAGCAGAAAAGATCAAAAAAGGTTAAAAACAAAATAAAAATGATAGTGAGACTAATAATGATAACATAAATAAGAAAGAATATAAGGCATCTACAGTAGTTTTACCATATAAGGAGGGGACATCTGAGACCCTCCCCACGTAGGATTCTTAATAAAGCAGGAATTAGGGTAGTGGCATTAAAACCTACAAACTCACTCAGAGACAAGCTCTGTAAGCTAAAGGACCCAATTAAACAAAATAATATAATTTACAAAATACCTTGCAATGACTGTGAGTTAAGTCAACTACATAGGTCAAACTAGTAGATCAGGAGTAGTGAGATTATCAGAACATAAGAATTTAGCTAAGGTTAGAATGATTGATCCCACGAAGATAAGTAATTTAGAAAAAAAACTCAGCAATTGCACTGCATGCATTAACACACAACCACACAATAGGGTGGGACAGAGTCAAAATTCTAAAAAGTAATATAGGTAGGTGGAGAGAGAGATTGATTACTGAATCCTGGTTCATCGAGTCTACACCCAACACATGCAATAGAAGTGACTCAATGCAAATACCAGAGATATGGAAGATATTATTACCAGTCAAATCAGAGGAGGATAATAAATAATCTTAAAATTCTATTTCAATTCACATACATTGATCGCTGACGAAATCTCAGCACGGATACAAAGGGGTAGTTTCGCATATGCCAGTTTACGCCGTCTGTGGCGTAGACGTGATATCCGACTACCGACCAAAGGGCGTGTGTACTGCTCAGCAGTTCGCTCCGTCCTCCTTTATGGCTGTGAGACCTGGCCATTGAGAGTGAAAGACATGAAAAGGGTAGCTAGCTGTCTTTGATCATAGGTGTCTGCGTTCTATCTCCTGCGTGAAGTAGTATAATAAGGAGAGCAATATTGAGGTTAGGCGTTGAGTGGCTAGGTAAGGAGGGGAAATCAGTCGACGAAGCTGTGAAATTATATTGACTGAGATGGTTAGGACATGTGTTACCCATACCTAGCCATCGCTTTCCTCGACGGGCAATGTTAGCTGATATAGGGTCCAGCTGGAAAAGAGCTAGCGGCGGTCAAACGAAAACATGGCACCAGCCAATGAAATCCACAACAGTTAGTCTAGGCCACGTAGGAAGGTGTAGACTTCCTGGTTGGGGTCCTCGGGACGGTAAAAACCAATGGTTGGAAACAATTGGTGACATGGCTCAATGGCGCAGATGCAACCACTCTTTGTGACTTATGATTTCCAATTAAGCTGTTTTGTTCTTCGTTATTACTATTCCTTTGTCTCACACCTCTGTTTACTGTCTATATTATGCATTTCTCCTACTTTCTTCTCTTGCTTTGTGTGCTACATAGAATGTGGTGGCTTAAACTGCCGCACATATGTGCAAAGTTCTATGTCGAAAACCGACCGACCGAATGTTGTGCCTGCTTCGTGAACAAAATATAATTGTTTCTGTGCCTGAATCGTCTAATGGATCAATTTTTTTAGTTTAGTCATATGGCTATCGGCATCGGTGGCACAGCGGTGGAATGCTCGCCAACTACTCGAGTGGTCTGGGGTTCGATCCCCGGCCACAGACGTGCTCCTTTACCTCGTTAAGCCGGTAATAAGACTGGCAAAGAGGAAAGATTGGCCATGAGGCTAGCAACACCACCTCGTAAAAGTAAACACTGCTACGGAAACTTCAAGTCTCTAGCTTAAAGCCATATGTTCCACTAGGAAACTTAAAGGAACTAAAACAAATTTGACTTCATTGGAAAAGTATTCATTGTTACTGTCAGTTCAAATATTCTTTTTACCTCAGAGGGTACTGAAGTTTGTAAGGAAGAGTAAATTTGCGTGTACTGTTGCCTAGGCTTTGAGACTAATCATTCTCTCCACAACTGTTACAATGCTAAGGACTAAATTATCATATCACATTAATAGCGAAATTGTGAATAACAGTGGTTCTTTTTCCGGCTAACAAGCCAGTTTTTTGGAGGTTGGAATGAAATAAAGTTGCACCCAGCAAAATGTCTCCGTAAGCTCTTGCATGACATTAGTAGATTTCCGCATAAGATTCTAGCTATCTGTGAATAATCCTATTTCATTTTGTTAGAACTTGTTTTGTCATAAATTTGTTTAGTAATATGTGGTTTATCAGTAAATGTGAAGAAAATTGCTGATGTATATTTTCCCAACAATAGTGTCATATTTAATACTTTTTATCTATTTGAATATAACCAACAAGAGGTTTTATGCATAATTCAAAACTTCTAATGTATGAGAATAAGGCATAGCAGTCTGGTCTTTCTGTTCCAATTTTAGTAAGCTTTAAAGAGTTAAGGGTAGTTGAACCAAAGCCTCCCATTAGTCCATGAAGTAGTCGATAGTTAGTTTAAGCCACGGGGTACTAAGAACCAATGGCTAAAGAATGTTGGGGTTATTGATCAAAATCCTTGTCATTAGCGCAAGTGGATTCACTCTTTGTGATCTCCTGTGTCTCTTAAATTCCGACATTTTCCATGTTACTATTCTTTCTTCAACACGTTTCTGTTCAAAATAGTTCTTTTGAATTTTTCGTGCTCGAGAACATCTCCCAGCATGGCTCAGTAAAGGTGTAGTGAAAACCATTAACAGTTCGATATTGAACCATCTGGTGCAAACCGGCCACAAAGCCAGCCAGCATTGAAGAATCCTTCTCTATAATCTACCGGGTGCCTAATAAATTGCCAAAATCATCGAAGCACCGCATGCTGCAAACAGCAGAGGCTATTGCAATTCGCTTCAAACAACCAGTGCTCTGTGTTCAAAAGAAGCAAGTCCAGTCAGCCACTACTACTGCCCTGGCTGGCCTTCAGTAGAGACTATAAATTCATGAATTTGTAATATTATCTTTCTTAATTTTCCTGACATTCAGCTTATTTTATGTTGATGCTATTGAGCTGTAATCTATCAATATTATTGATTCGATGTTATTTAAACAGTATCAATGTTGTTCATAAAACTAATTCATTCATTCACTATAATGTCTACATATAACTGTAGAGCCTGATGATGAAGTTATGGAAAAGAGTATTCTTTTGAAAATTTTTCTTTTGTTGACGTTTGTGTACTACATGGAGTGTGGCGACTTGAACTACCGCACATATGTGCAAAGTTCTATGTCGAAAAACGACCGACCGACCGATGTTGAAACTCAGACAGTCAAGCAGAAAAGATCAAAAAAAGGTTAAAAACAAAATAAAAATGATAGTGAGACTAATAATGATAACATAAATAAGAAAGAATATAAGGCATCTACAGTAGTTTTGCCATATAAGGAGGTGACATGTGAGACCCTCCCCATGAAGGATTCTTAATAAAGCAGGAATTAGGGTAGTGGCATTAAGACCTACAAACTCACTCAGAGACAAGCTCTGTAAGCTAAAGGACCCATTTAAACAAAATATAATGTAAAAGGCACGTTGACTGTGAGTTAAGTCAACTACATAGTCAAACTAGTAGATCAGAGGTAGTGAGATTATCAGAACATAAGAATATAGCTAAGGTTAGAATGATCGATCCCACAAAGATAAGTAATTCAGAAAAAAAACTCAGCAGTCGCACTGCATGCATTAACACACAATAGGGTGGGATAGGGTTAAAATTCTTAAAAGTAATATAGGTAAGGGTAGAAAGACATTGGTTACTGAATCCTGGTTCATCGAGTCTCCACCCAACACATAGAATAGAAGTGACTCAACGCAAATACCAGAGATATGGAAGATATTATTACCAGTCAAATCAGAGGAGGATAATAAATAATCTTAAAATTCTATTTCAATTCACATACATTGATCGCTGACGAAATCTCAGCACGGATACAAAGGGCTAGTTTCGCATATGCCAGTTTACGCCGTCTGTGGCGTAGACGTGATATCCGACTACCGACCAAAGGGCGTGTGTACTGCTCAGCAGTTCGCTCCGTCCTCCTTTATGGCTGTGAGACCTGGCCATTGAGAGTGAAAGACATGAAAAGGGTAGCTAGCTGTCTTTGATCATAGGTGTCTGCGTTCTATCTCCTGCGTGAAGTAGTATAATAAGGAGAGCAATATTGAGGTTAGGCGTTGAGTGGCTAGGTAAGGAGGGGAAATCAGTCGACGAAGCTGTGAAATTATATTGACTGAGATGGTTAGGACATGTGTTACCCATACCTAGCCATCGCTTTCCTCGACGGGCAATGTTAGCTGATATAGGGTCCAGCTGGAAAAGAGCTAGCGGCGGTCAAACGAAAACATGGCACCAGCCAATGAAATCCACAACAGTTAGTCTAGGCCACGTAGGAAGGTGTAGACTTCCTGGTTGGGGTCCTCGGGACGGTAAAAACCAATGGTTGGAAACAATTGGTGACATGGCTCAATGGCGCAGATGCAACCACTCTTTGTGACTTATGATTTCCAATTAAGCTGTTTTGTTCTTCGTTATTACTATTCCTTTGTCTCACACCTCTGTTTACTGTCTATATTATGCATTTCTCCTACTTTCTTCTCTTGCTTTGTGTGCTACATGGAGTGTGGTGGCTTGAACTGCTGCACATATGTGCAAAGTTCTATGTCGAAAACTGACAGAGATTATAACATTCTGACAAGTTACTTATTTTGACTATAGAAACATCTTATTTCCCATCTTATTGTATTTTATTGATAACACTAATATCATTTCCGAATGTACTTTATCTTCCTTTCTGTTTCACGCATTTCTCATATTGATTTTGTTCATATGTCTAATCAATTTTTACTCATGTATATAAACGAACAAGAAAGTTATGTTCTCGAAACGTTGTCATCAGTAAATATTACTGTATAACACCACTGTGTGATTTTATCAAAATAAAATTTTATCCATAATGAAGTTATACTCTACCACCACAGTGTCCAAGTTTTATCCTTATATCAAGCAGAAAAGAGTTAAGAACTTTTCTATTTTCTTTTTGTGTAATTGTGATTCTTAACCCATTTTAAAGAAAATTAGGATCGTTTTTTCTTGTATTTTTTAAAATTGTGTCTGACTGTATCACTTACCCTGATCATATGCTGAATGATATTGTATTCTATTTATTTTATTTTATGTAGTTTTCAGAATGATAATGAACCTGAAAAAGTGTTTGAATGTTGTCCAACTCTTCAGCTGCTAATTGATTCAGGCCATGTTCTAGTTTTCACATGGAAAAATGGTTATGCACCTGAATGTGTCAAAGAAAGCGATGATTTTATACCTCTTTTATTAAAACAAGAAAGAGAAAAACTAAAACAATCATCAATAGAAATGGAGAAAACTGATCTTGTAGCGGAAGATGCTTCCTTGGAACCAAATGAAGTAAGTTTATTTATTTATTTATTTTTTATCTAGTTCATTCTACTCCATTTTTCGTAGTATTAAGTTTTCTTTTGGAGAGAAACGTATGGTTTGGTCACTAGCTGACATCAGTTGGAGAACCATTGGAAAACCAGGGTGTACTGGGCAGTTGTTTCGTCCTAGTTTGGGACTCTTCACAGTAATCACCCACAGGGGTTCGGATCCAGAAGCTTCCGGTTGCAAAGCAAGCTCGTAGGTCACTCATCCAATGGGACCTGGTCCAATGGCCCATGAATTTCAACTCCTATACATAACGCGACCGCCAGCCAATGCCATAAGCGAGTAACTGTTCTCTTACCTGACTTGGTGGACTCCGTCGGTTACGGCTTCTCACTAGAACTCCAGTTGACTTTCTGTATAAAACAGTCGCTAGTCAGCATATATATATATAAATGTATATTATATAATCCGACTTTACTAAACTTCGCAACTTATTAATTGCAAATCTCCACCTGAGATACAAATCTTCTCTATTATTTCATAATTCGAATTTTTTAAGCCTCTAACATACCTGACTGATTTACTAAGACAGTACTACTTTTCTACTTCAAATAGGGAATGGCTTTATGAGGTTTCCTGTCTGCACTTAGTAGAACTTCCAGACCAGTAAAATTGTAAAACTAGGTTACTTAGCTACTAGAACTCAACTACCTCGTACTATAATCTGTATATGGATCTCCAGCTCATTGTCGACTACTGTGTGGAGGGGAGGGGGCACGGATCTTAAACTTATTATGACGAATCGGGGCCAATGGAGTACACAATGTCAGGGTGAAGTGGATGATCGTCGATGGCACTGGTTGGCTCTAACACTATATCACGAAATTATAAAGTTAAAATTCAATATATATATACAGACAAAGCAATAAGAAGACGTAGTTTGTCTGAATCGTGTATTGTATGTATTTGCGCAACACATTTCGAACAGTCTGATCAGCACACACGGACTTGTCATAGGAATACATATATGAAATTAATAAAGAGTTAAGAGGTGAGAAAATAAACTACTTAGGTCAAGTTAAAAGGACATATTGAAGGTCAAAATAACAATGAAGATCACTAAACCAAATAACAGAGGTAATAGTACATCTACCCTGGCTGGTATCAAAACAAAGTTTACCAAGGAAGGTGGTTTAGTGTGATGACGAATTGTTGCTTTGAACGCATAAAGGTGGTTTAAACTTCCTAATTGCCAGCTAGGGCTTCTACAAATTTTAGGATACGCCCCAAACACGTTTTATAGATAGGTTTAAAAGATGTGTAAACATTAATTTTATGTCCTGTCTCTATAATATGTTTCGCAATAGAGGATCTAGGTCTCCTGTTCTCACCATTAATAGGTTCTGGGGATTCTATTAACTTCTGGAGCCATTTAGGAATATGCTCTGAAGGCAGCCCTTACTTGCAGAGATCGATGAGTCCTCTCTATGTATGTGTCTCCACACGTACATTCAAATTGGTAAATACAGTGGGATGTGACATCATTTTTCGCATGTTCGAAGGGCTTAGATGGATGGATATATTGGCTTCACATTCTCAATTATTATGATATTAGCTGCATTAAAAATTCGTTTTTTAACAGCAGCGTTCAATCTTTGTCTAGTTATCAAGCTGCCTGCTATGATGCCCCATATAGGGTAGCTTGATATACACGTCTTTCTTAGGGGCGAGTTGTAGAGTAGGTCTTGGTGTTCCACTGACTACTTTATATCTCCTGATGAACTTGTCTGGATAATTGTTATCAACCAGAGTTTGTGTCAACTTCCTTTCTTCTTCATCAAGTGTGTCTTCAGTGCATATTCGTTGGATTCTACTCAAGAGGCACCTAGCTCACTAAGGCTCTTTTGTACCGAACAGAGCAGGCAGAAACTGTGGTAATTAAGATACTGTCCTGTCCAGGTAGGTTTTCTTTGAATAGATCATTTGATTGCCCCATCAAGCCGTCCGTCGACTAAGCAATATGTCTAGGAAAGATAAACAATTATCTTCCTCTTCTACAGATGTAAGTGATATGCTATTCTGAACTTCATTTATTCAATTCAAAATTGAGGTGGCAGAACAAGACTTATCACTGATGATTACAATATCATCTACATACCTTCTATAAAGTGGCACATTTTCGATTAAATCCTCCGATAAATTCTCAATGTACGACATATAGATATCTGCTAAAAGGAGCCTTAACGGACTTCTCATAGCAACGCAATCAACCTGACGGAAATAATCGTCTACAAATGTAAACCTAACATTGCTAGTACATAGAAGTAATAAATCCCTTAAATAAGATGCATAGGGAACGGGATGATTAAACGATTCAGAAAAATTATGTCTTCTTATTGCTTTGTCTAAATTCATAAAGGAAACTAGTCGTTTTAAATGTATAAATATATATGTGCATGGTCGGCGAGCGTCCTAACCGCTACGCCACCGAAGCATGTGTGTTTCTCTCCCATTTGTTTATTGCAATTTTCCTTATATCAAGTATAGGTGTTATGTCATTTGGGTTGCACGTGTTTGGTATTGACTTGATGAACAAAATCCCCTTTCTTCATCTAACTAATATTACTTTCTAATACTTTTACCCTACCTCACGCTGTTGTGTGATTACATGCAAGTGAATGTGTACTTCAACGACCGAGTTGTCTTTTAGATTACTGAACTAAGAAGGGTCAATCATTCTACGTGTAGTTGGATTTCTATGTTCCAATAAGTTAATTGACCCCGATCTACTAGTTTGACCTATATAGTTGACCTCACAGTCATTACATGGTATTTGATAAATTATATTATTTTTCTTAATTAGATCTATTGGGTCCTTAAGCCGACAAAGTCTATCTCAGAGAGTTGGTTGGTTTAAATACCGCCCTAATTTCAGCCTCATTGAGAATCCTACGTAAGGCCTCTGAAGTTCCTTCTTTATACGGCAGTACTACAAAGGCTTTGAACTCTATATTATTATTTTCGTCATTTTTATTGCTAATCCTAGTTTTTCTATGGTTCTTCATATATTTTTGAATAAATTCTGCTGGGTAGTTATTCACTAGTAATACTTCTTTAGAGCCTAAGGGTGTTGACGTTCACGGATAGTATGAAGTGTACTGACGTGAGATCTAATACCCAGTATTGTCCAAATTTACGAATTGTATTTCGGGACCAAATCTGAGTGCGAGATGATTGCTTAACTAGCTAGGGATCGTACACGAACGAACGTAACACGACAGCGTACCAAATGACGTGGATGTTTGACCGGAAGCCTTCAGCTAAACTAATCGACTAAAACAGTGAGAATCCAATGTTCACTGATGAATGCTGTAGCCAATAATTCTGGGGAATTACCTACCGCTACACTTCCTTTATTTGTTTGATTTCATTTTTTAAATCGTCTGGCTTTCTGGTTAGGCTCTTGACCCGATTACACTGACATGTAATTAAACCCATTCTTACTGATTCTGGATGGGATGAATTAAAGTCTGAGTATTTATTAGAGTGTGTCACTTCAATATAAATGCTGATACCTAACCACCCACCACCTTGTTTTCGTTCTATTCTACAGTCAAGCATGGCCAACTCACCCTGTTCATTTTCTAACTCAGAAGTGAATTGAATTCCTTGATATAAGAATAAAACTTGTGCACTGTGGTAGAGTGTAATTCCATTATGGATAAATTTTGTTTTGATAAAGTCTCACAGTGGTATACAGTAATGTTTACTGATGACGTTTCGAGCACAATTTATTGCTGCTCATAATCATATCAAGGTAATCACACAAGGATTCAGTAATTTTTTTGATCGCACACTAGTCAGTAACTAGTGTAATGTGTCTAGTCCTATCTTCGGTGCAGACTGAATTCTATCAGTCATGTTTGCAATGTGGCCACCATGCTAGGTGGCTCGCCATTACGGTGCACTGTGAATTGTTGGTATTAGATGGTTGGAGGCAATCGGCAGGAAGCCTTGGACCTAGGTTTCGTGCTAGTTGGCACTCATCGGCAAGGCATATCTGCAACCTTGAAGGAACTGATGTCTCTTCTGAGATTCGAACCCGCGTCACCCAGTGCTGCAGTCAGAGACGTTACCACTGAGCTATTCAGGCTCGCGACTGACCTCCTGTAGGACTGTATTGGATATTTTTTGATTGCACACTAGTCAGTAACTAGTGTAATGTGTCTAGTCCTATCTTCGGTAATCCTTGTTCATCGAATCTACACCCAACACATGCAATAGAAATGATTCATCACTCATACCCGAAATATGGAAAATATTATTACCAATCAAATCAAGTGAAAAACAATGGAACTATATAAATGAACTTAGGAAGTCATGTGATCACCTTGATAGGATTATGAGCAATAAATTGTACTCGAAAAGTCATCAGTAAACATTACTGTATAACACTGTGAGACTTTATCAAAACAAAATTCACCCGTAATGAATTGAATTCCGTCTACTATTGAGTTTATAAGTGCAATACACTGCAGGATATGTTCAGATTTCAACACCGTGAATGTGTCATCCACATATCACCACCATAACCTAGGAAGAGGATTAGACGTTCTAAGAGCCTTATGTTCCCAACTATCCATAAATATGTCTGCTACTATTGGGGATATTGGTGATCCCATTGCCATCCCATTCGTTTTATTGTATATTTTATTTTGAAATTTGAATACAGTGGAGGTTAGACATAACTGAACACTTAATGTTATTATTTCATCAACCGAGAACTGGGTCCTTTTTTAAAGTTCAGGATCAATGTCCAGTTCATTCCTAACTTCTTGGAGAACTAACTGTATTGATTGGGTTATCAGTGTACAAAGTGGTTATATGAAAACTTATCTTTTTTTCTATCTTTTTCTAATTGAATTTCCTCCAGCTTCGGTTTCATTACATAACAGTTAGTTAGCCTAGAATTTGACCTATCTCTAATGCGGCATAATACTTGTTGTAAATATTTAAGTAACTCTTAAGTGGGGGTGTTCCTAAAGTCAACTATTGGCCTGACAGGATATCCTGCTTTGTGAATTTTAATAATTTAATAATTCCCATTGTAGCATTAAGAATACAATATTCAGCGAAGAGACTCTTTTCAACAACGAATTTATTATCAAGCTGTATAATAGTATATATATATGGTTTTTTTTAAAGAAATTATATCCGGTAGGGGGGATTAGGTCAAAGGTTTGAGTACATGAAATAATAATAGTGGTATGAAACGCAATTAAAATATTTGTGATTATAATCATAGTTTAATGTTAAGTTGCAAAACAGTTTATGTCATATATAGAATAATACATGAGATGGATGGATGTATAGATGTTGTTGTGAGGGGGTGCATAATTATTGGATTAGTAGGCGAATATAAGAACGTTACATAACATTTGAATAAATTTGATAAGATGGAATTAAATATTGTAAAAATAAAAAATTTAAAAGTGAATAATTTTGGGTTTAGAATGACAAGTGGGTCAAGTGAAAAAGATTCAGAGTGAGAATAGTAATAATATATATATAATAATATATATTGCCCCATTCTGATATATCAAATTTTGTCAAGTATGCTGATGACCTCTCTGTCTCCATGCCTGTCAACTCTCAGTCAGACTGTTCCATATTAAATAACTTTCTCTCGGAAATTAGTCAGTGGTCCTCTTCAAACGGTCTTAAGCTGTATCCGTCTAAATGTCAGGTAGTAAATTTTACTTTCAGACGAAAAAGTGACCTACAACAACTAGCTAGCTCACATGGTCCCACTATCATTGACGGCATAGAGGTTGAAACTACATCTAATGTCAAGTACCTTGGACTGAGTATTTCCTCCGATCTTTCCTGGTCCTCTCACACCTTGCTAGTGACTAGAAAGATGTTTCGCTTAACGTTCTACGTTAGGAAGTTTAGACAGTCTGGTATAAAGCCGTCTTTGCTTTCTCAATTTGTCAATTCCTGTATTCTACCCATCCCTCTTTACTGCTCCCCATTAATCTTCCCTGGACTACTTAAGAAAGACTGCTTCGCTGCATAGGGCACTAAAAGCTGTTGGTAGGGGAAGTGGGATTTCGTCAAACCAACTGGTTAACACCGTGGTGGATAGACATATAATGTTATGTAAGAAACTAGCGAATTCTATATTGTCAGACCCCGAACACCCTCTCTATACGCAGCTCTCTCCTTGCATTTCATCTTGTAGAACTAGAAGCAACTATAGGAAGCTATATGCCAGGACTACCAAGTATAAAAAACTCCACAATACCTTATCTGGCACAGCTGTTATGTGATGAGAAAACTGTTAGGCATGACACGATCAACTTACTGCGGCACTCTAACAAATAGTTCCCATTAGCTTTTGTTCTCCTTTCTTTGTTACTATTATATTGTTGCTCATATATTCTATTACAGACTAATTTTATATATCATATCCTGTGGTGCATTGTTTAAATATGTGAATGCAATGCTGTTCTTTTTTTATTTCTTTTATTTCTCTTTTTTCTTTTTGTTGTTGTTGCTTTATATTTTTAAATCCTTATAAAATTTATGAGATAATTAGATGCAATATTGTAATGAACGCCGAAAATTCCATACCTGTACCACAAATACTGTTTGGAATAAAGCCATTATTATTATTAAAAAAAAAATAATAATGATAATAATAGTAATAATAATCGTAGTAATAAGGGAAAAGTACATAGAATAACTAAATAAACAAAATAAATAAATAAATGTCTATCCCTCTACGGCCAAGGCAGAAGTAGGGATTGTACATACTTCTTTTGTACACAAAGGTCTGGCTTAAAGTCATGAATTCCCTCACCGGATATAATTTCTTAAAAAAACCATATATATATATATAATATATATACGATTGTAATAATAATAATAATTTGCTTTATTCCAGAAACAGTACTAGTGGTACAGTGTGGAATTTTCAGCACTTATCTACAATATTTGCATCTAATTTTACAGACATTTAAAATAAGTATTAAACAAACAAACAAAAATCTGAAGACACCAACAGCAAAATAAAAATAAAAAAAACAGGATAAACACAAAATAATTATAAATGCGAAAAAGTACAAAAGTCTACCAAAGTCTAATGCAGTGTTTGCAGTGGTAGTGTGAGTAATCCTGAATAATATAAAATTTTTTAAGGTGGTGACTATGGCGTTCACAACCAATGATTGTCAGTTTAATATTGCCGAAAAGTATGGAAAATAAGAAAAAACAGCCACAAAACTAATAATTACATGATGGTTAATGACAGGACAATTTTGTAATACTCATAGTGCTAATAGAGTCGGAACCAGTGGATACACAAAAGAAGGAATATAGTAAAGTACAAAAAAGGAAGCCAATGTTAATATTTTAGGTAGCTAAGTATGTTTAAGAAGGAGTTCACTAAAGAATACAAAATAAGAGAGAAATAAAAGAGCCTAAAATTATGTTGTTAATAACAGAGCAAGTCATAAGTTTCACGCTTAACATTGTCTCTGTCGCTTAGAACACGGACCAAGTATGGTATCGTTGAGTTCCTATACTTGGTTGTACGAGCATAGATTATTTTATACTGATTTCTGGTTTTACTTGATGAGATACAAGGCGAGAGTTGGGAATAGAGGGGGTGTTGGGGTCGGAGAGTATGGTTTTTGACCATTTTTCGCATGTATTCAGATGCCTATCAACTAAAGTAGTGACGAGCTGACTGAGTTTTACACCACTAGTTCTACTGACTACCTTCAACATCCTTCTCAGGATGGCATAGTCCTTTTTCAGTAGACCAGGAAAGACTAACGGGGAGCAGTAAAGTAGAATAGGTAAGATACAAGAGTTGACAAATTGTGAAAGTAGAGTTGGTGATTCCAGATTGTCTAAGTTTCTTAATGTAGTAGGTAAGACAGAACACTTTCTTAGAAATCATTAGGATATGAGATGTCCAAGTAAGGTCGGAGGATAGAACTAGACCGAGGTATTTAGCATTAGACTTAGTTTCAATTTTAGTCCCCTCAATGCAACAGTCTTCATGAGAACTTACTAGTGTTTGTAGATCTCGTTTATGCCTAAGGGAGAAGTCAATAGTCTGGCATTTTGAGGGATTCAGCATGAGACCATTTAGTTTGGACTACTCACTGATGTCCGACAGGAAGCTATTTAATTTGAGACAGTCTGACTGAGACTTAATGGGAAACGATACAGACAGGTCATCTGCATATTTGACGAAGTTGATTTCACCTGAGAGAGGTAAATCATGTAAGAAGAAGGAAAAGAGAAACGGAGAAAGAACAGCACCCTGAGGAACTCCAGCTTGATAATAAATTCCTTGTCGCTGAATATTGTGTTCGCAATGCATTCACTTACTAGCTCACTCTTATCATTTTCTAACTCAAAATGGAATTTGAAGTTCAGCTAGCTAATATGATGCAGATAGTAAGAAGCTGATTAACTTTAACTTTTCTCTCTCTCTCTGTTGGTTGATGTAGATAGTTTGGGATGAAACTGAAGGAATTGATTTTGGTCCTATCGATTATGATGTTATCGAAAGTATTGAAATTGAAACCGAAAACACTCCACCGATGACTCCATCAGGCCTAACTGATTCTGGCAATGCTGTCAGCAGTAGTATATCTTCTGAAATACAAGCCAAACCAACAATTGCTTCTGGTGGATCTGCTCGTTACCTACTGGACTCAACTGATGGACGTAAAGCTCTTTTAAATGATCTATTCGAGTTGGATGCATTTTTACAACGATTTCAAGAGGATATGCATGAAAGGTTAGATCATGAAGGCGGGGGGAATCAACTCAGTGTCTCTGAACGAAATACCACAGGATCATCTGGCAACACTGGTTGTGATACACTTCAGAATATGGTCATGCAAGTAGGTGTTTTACTGTTAATAATTAAATTTTATGCTTAAATCAAGTTTTAATTTGAGTACTTTTCGGTGACGTTGTTAGGAGACAAAATTGATCGGAAAAATGTGATGTATTTGGGCAATACAATTTTGAAAAGTCTGATTATAGAAGACCAATTAAAATAAACGAAGTGACAAGGGATTTAAGAATAAGAATAATTAAGACTATTAAATAAAGTATAATTATATTTCTTCAGTGGGAAACAAGAAGACAGGGATATCCTGGACCGACGTGAAGAACCTAGAAGACCTGGATTTCGCGGATGACTTATTTTTGATGTCACACAAAATCAAAGACTTACAAGCAAAAACCGACAAACTGGTCGAAGAAGCATTGCAGCAAAGACAGGACTCCAGGTGAACACAGAAAAGATGGAGGTTATGAAAATAACCAACCAACCAACAACAACAGCAACATCCACCGCCAATCACCATCAACGGGAGGCATTTGGAAGAGGTTACTTCATTCACTTATCTAGGGGGCATTGTTTCAATTACAGGGGGGACGGACGAAGATGTCAAATCGAGAATCGGGAAGGCAAGAAACACATTCATCAACCTGAAACCAATCTGGAAATCTTCGTCACTCAGCATCAACAACAAAATTCGGATTTTCAATACAAACGTCAAGTCAGTCAGTTCTTCTATACGGATGGATCAGAAACTTGGCGTGTCACAAAGAATATTTCCAACAGCCTGTTGCAGACCTTTATCAACAACTAACTGTCTTCGCTCTATACTGAAGATTAAATGGTCGGAAAGAATCACCAACAAGAAACTATGGGAAGAAACAAAACAAGAACCAATCGCCAAACAAATATTCAGGAGAAAGTGGAGATGGATCGAACACTCGCTGAGGAGACCGCTGGGTGACATCGCGCGTCAGGTCCTTGAGTGGAACCCGAAAGGGAAGCGGCGAGTGGGACGTCCAAGGGTGACATGGAGGAGATCATGTGAAGAGGAGTTGAAACAATATGGAATAACATGGATGCAGGTGAAAAGTACAGCAGAAGACAGAAGCAAGTGAAGACGTGCAGTTGAAGCCCTATATTCCACTAGGAACCCAAGGGAACAATAAAATAAATATTTCAGTAGATTGCGCACACAGTGATGAGTTTTGTTATTGGTAATATTTCGAGCATTTCAGCGTTTCGCTTATTATTACGTGAATTGTTTTCTTGAATTGCTTCATCAAGTGATGTCCTCAGAGGCTTAGGAGGAGGTGGTAGTCACGCACTGCCTGTTTGGAGTTGTGTCTGTATAAAGACCTATGGACCACCGCCACACAAAGCATGTCAGGATGTACAGTTGTAGGGGTATTCGAGTTTTCCCAACTCCTCCCCCTTTCTCCTCCAGAGTGAAGAGGCAGCAGTATTAGCGTGAGCGGATACGATTAGCAGATACATCTACGGACTGTCTAAGAAATGGCAACAAAGAGATGACAGAATAACCTTCAGCAGGAAAACAACCGATCAGAAGACGTTACCTCTCTGCTGACAATAACGAATAATAATGTATATGAAAATGTATAAATATCTGTTGATTTTCTCAACAAAGGATCTGTTGCCTGGCCCTTGTCTTCTGTCGTTACAGAAGTAATAAAAAGTATAATAATTTGGTAAAGAAAAGAGGGAGAGATAGGCCAATCAATACATGCAATAGAAATGACGCAACACCTATCCCAGTTACATGGTAAAACAGAAAGGAATGAAGAGAATATATTAAGCAAGATAGGAAGTATTGTGGAAACTCTGATATGACTATAAGACAATAAATTCCATTCAAGCTTTAATCACGATCAGTTAGGGAACCATTAAAAACAAAAAAGGACTGGAGAGTGGTTTCATCCTAGTCTGAGACTCCTCATCAGTACGCATCCTCGACTAAACTGGAAATTGAAATCTAAGCCGGCAAAGTTAAACCACAGCGATCGCTAAAATGCAAACGCACGAGTGACCTTGAGGCGGACAATCACGAGAACCAGTAGTTTTCACTTCAGAATGACGCTTATTTACGAGAGAAATATAGAGACTAGTGATAAAATGCATTAAACAGGATATTTTTCCCTGACATGACTCAAAAATATTTCCTAATTATAATGAGCAGTGCCAATTTTTAAGTTAAATCAGTATCTGTTCATGTATTCATTGAGATGATTGAAGACAAGCTGTTCCCCAGAAGCCCTCGACTGAATTAGTATAGGTCTCAGTAAGGGGGTTGACAAAATCATAGGAATGGTTCACTCGATAATGAATGGAACCCAGTTTGTAATATCCAGTAATGGCGGATAAAAAGTATATTTGTTAACGGCAGTTTTGATTTAGAAAACAAAGTTCCTAGGAAAGAATGAATTGGGTGTGTAACTTAATATTTCGTTTCTTACATCTGTGTGCACCTCAATACATTTCCATCAGTTGCTTCTAAACACCCATTATCTAAACAGTACTTAGAAACTAGATTCGGATGAAATTTGCACGGCTATTCGTGAATAGTGTTCATAGTGTCTCTATAATAATAATGGTAGGTCCTGTTATCCAACGACTAGTATGCATTCAAGGTCATCAGTGTTTTCATACTCCTGGATGCCTATACTTTAACATGGCCCCAGAACCTTCAGATTACGAGGCGAGCGCATTAACCATTCAGCCAATGAGACGGAATCTAATGACTCATCAATTTACGACAACCAACCAATATAACCTACCTAGTAGGTAGCTGAATGGTCAACAAGATCGTAATCTCGTTATCTGAAGGTTCCGGATGCGATCAATCCTCAGTGGAGTTGTAGGTGTGTACACCGATGAAGAGTCCCAAACTAGGAGGAAACAACTATCCTGTATTTCCCTGGTTTCCAATGATTCTCTAACTGAAGTCAATTCGTGATCAAAACCTGAAATCGACCGAATCCATGTGCGTCGGTGGCACAGTGGTTAGGACTCTCGCCGACCATGCACATGGTCCGGGGTTCGATCCCCTGCCGGCGCACACCCGATATCTATGGTCGGCCTGAATTTGGGCTACCGATATCCATGCTGAAAATTCCACACTTGTACTGAAAATACGGTATGGAATCAAGCTGTAAATCAAAATAAAAAAATAAAAATAAAATTACTGCCCGAGTTCACACCACCGTTGGAATTGTTTTGTTCACACATTTATGATTTGTACTCATATATATAGTTCATTATTTTTTTGCTCATTGATGTTTTTTGTATTCAGAATTATATTCCAGGTTGTTGACATTTGTACTGCTGAGTCACCCTTGTTACATGTATCCGGTGTGACTTTAATGAATATCAATTCTGTTATAAGTCTTTCTTTCCATTTGTTCGTGTTAGTTTTTAGAATACACACATTGTCCCAATCGATATTGTGGTTTTTGTCCCATGCTGCATGTGCGGCTATCGATAATTTTTTCTCTAAATTCTTGTAAGCTTGTGTTCCTGTTGGTTGACCTTTGGTTAGGCGTTTATGTTCATTCACTCTTATTTTGAGTGATCCGGACGACGTTTGGCCCACATATTTGATCGGACACTCAACACAAGATATTTTGTAAATCAAATTGTTTTAATCCATCATTTTTATGGGATCTTTCAGCTGATTTATTTTATTTTGTAATTAGATTCGTTGGTTTGAACGTCGTGCGAATTCCAGTATTTTTGAGGTTTCTTCGAATTGCCTCTGATGTACCATTTTTGTATGGTATTGTGACTGTTTGTTTGCATTCTTCCATCTTGTTATTCTCCGGTTTTATCCTCTTTTTTCTCTTTTGTATATTATCTTTTATAAATTCTTTTGGGTGGTTGTTTCCGAGTAGCATTTTGATTAGGACGTTTATTTCTTTACGCTGGTCCTCTCTCTGGTGTTGTTGTAAGTCTGCGTATTCAATCTGCAAGACCTTGTATTAATCCTCGTTTTACTGTCATTGGATGAGGTGAGTGATAATCAAGGAATCTTCCAGAGTGTGTAGTTTTTCTATATATCGTCGTTTTTATGCTACCATCTGTTACTCTTTGTATTTTGCAGTTCCCCAATTTCATTCTCTATTTCCTTTGTGAATTTTATTGAGTCGACATGGCTGTTTATGTGTGAGAAGAGTTTCTCGATATCGTTTTTTTTTCACTATTACTAGTGTGTCGTCTACATATCTCCGCCAACATTTTAGTGATGACCTGGATGGTTTAAGTGCATTTTCTTCCCAATAATTCATGAATATGTTGTCAGCTATTATTAGTGAGATAGGCGATCCCATGGCTACTCCTCCTTCATTTTGTTCGTATATTTTCCCTTCGAATGTGAAATATTTTGTTGTCAGACAGAATTCCACCCCTTTTATTATCTCTTCTACGGATAACTGTGTTCTGTCTTTTTGGCCATTATATCTTCTTTTAGTTTCTCTGTTAGTGCATTCATGGCCATTTGAATGGGTATTTTAGTATAGAGACAGCTGTCCAGTACTCCCTGGTTTTCAATGGTGCTCTAACTGATGTCAATCCGTGATCGACTCGTAAAAACATAACTAACCCTTACAAACCAAACTATAGAAAATTAATCTGATGCTCGCTAGTGACTTGCTACAGGATGGAGTTTCCTGGAGTTCTAGTGAGAAGTCGTGACCAGTGAGGTCCATCCAGTTGCGTGTGAGGATGGATATCCCACCGATGACATTGGTTGGGGTCGCGCTAAATCACGAATTGGTAGAAGTTAGAATTCATGAGTTATTGAATCGGGTCCCAGTGGTTGAGTGGCATACGAGCTTACCTTGTAACCGGAAGGTCCTAGGTTCTAACCCTGGTGGTGGGTGCGTACTGCCGATGATTCCCAAACTGGGATGAAACAGCTGACTGTCCGGTACTCCCTGGTCTTCAATGGTGCTCTAACTGATGTCAATCCGTGATCGACTCGTAAAAACATAACTAACCCTTACAAACCAAACTATAGAAAATAGAGATTGATAATATAATTAAGACTATACTTGATAATATAATTGCATAAGGATTACTAAGTTACGTTCAGCGTAATAATCAATAATTTCAAGTGTTCCTTTGGAGGTATTTGATTGGTTATAAAATTTCGTTATTGAGCCAACATCGGTTAAAGAACCATTAGAAAACCTGGGAGAACTGGAAAACTGCTTTGTCCTAGTTTCGGACTCTTCATAGTATGCACTCACCGCCAGGGAGGGTTGGAACCCAAGACCTTCCGGTTACAAGGCGAGCTCGTGGACCATTCAGTCGCTGAGACCCCGATCCAGTGACCAGTGCATGAATTTCAGCTACTGCCGATTCACGATATAGCGTGATCACTAACCAATCTGAGGGGTGTGAGGACAAATACTCACTACGGATGACATTAGCTAGTGGTTGTGCTATATCGTGAATTGTCAGAAGTTGGAATTCATGGGCCATTGGATCAGGTCCCAGTGGCTGAATGGTCTACGAGCTGGTCTTGTAGCGACAGAACACAAGGGCCAGGCAACAGATCGTTTATTGAGAAAATCAAGAGATATGTATAGATTTTTATGTACATTATTATTGGTTATTGTTAGCAGGGATGTAGCGTCTTCTGATTAGTTGTTTTCCTGCTGAAGGTTATTCTGTCATCTTTTTGTTGCCGTTTTTAGACAGTCCGGTGATATATCTGCAAATCGTATCCGCCCACTCTAAGTAAGCTGTGATTGGTTGTTGAGTTCCTCAAGGTTAGGCTTTGTTCTTGTTTTTTCTCATGACTCCAAGATTTGGGACGTAAACATTAACGGTAAATTGTTGTCTACAATTTTGTCTTGCAGACAGCTCTCATCACATTGTAACTGGAAGGTCCTGAATCCGAACGCCCTAATAGGTGAGTACTGTGAAGAGTCCCAAACTAGGGCAAAGCAACTGTCTGGCAGTACTCCTAGGTGGCTTTACACAGTGGTGTTCTGTAACCGATGCCAGCTCATGATGAGATCAAGTCATAAATTCTTTTGTACACACATGTGCGGGGCTTAATTTTACGGACAACTATGTCGTCTTAGTGTATTTCAGTATGCGATTCTAACGGCTTTTATAGATAATCTTCAAGGCTGTTTCGATATCCAGTATCAATTAAATGTTTTGTTATAGATGTGGTTAATAGTCTACTACTTGTATTTATCGAGGTGGGTGGTACTCCAACTACTCACATTAATCAACCAGTGCTACATAGCCTCATGCATTTATGCTTGCAGATTGCTTGTTGTTATTTGAATAATTTCCATCTCCAAAGGAGACCTTGGCTAAATTTCATCTCGAACTGTTAGAATTACAAATTGCGAGCTTGGTTCTAACGAAGATTTGTTCATTTAGTACCTATCTTTGGTGCCTGGCTGGAACACATCTTATGCATGCCGAGCCGTTACTTTCTTTACCCAGCAATATTTGCTTACATCAGAGAGAAAGTTTGGAAAAAGAGTTATAGGGTAGTCCAATCGAAACCTGACATCAGCCTTTTAAGTCTTTGACTGCTGGTTTGAATCACGCAGAGAGAGATGTGTTGACTGCCTCACTGAAATCCTCTAGATGCTTAGGATAGGTCAGTAGGTGGATACTGTTGATGAAATTAGCTCAAAAAACTGTTTCACTGATGCAAATCCACTAACTTCTCATTATTCTCCCTGTAATTATTCTTCCTCCGGTACATCTTCATTCTTCATAGTTCTTTCGATATTTTTTTCTGTCTACCTTCGTGTTGCGATATGGAGTGTGGTAAACTTGACACTGTGTACTTTTGTTCAAAGATGTAAGCAGGGAACTCAGTCAGTTAGTCAATTTTGAAAGTAACTTTTTCTCAGTTGGATTCAGGTTACTTTACTAGATAGTGCCGGTGACGCAGAGGTAGAATGCTTGCTAACCACTTGGGTAGTCCAGGGTTCTATCCTCCGCCGACGTACTCCCAAACCTCTCTTAGCTATTATCATTTAAACGCAGAGGAACTTGGTACAATATGGCACCAAGACGATGCGCCACACTGTGATTATAAAACAACATAGATTAAAAGTAAAAATATAAGTAGAGAATGGATAAAGAACTTCATCTGGAAGGAAAACAGTCATACTTAACAAGTTCAAACAGTATTCGTCAACTATCATCAGGAAGGGAAGAAAGAAGGAAATTGCAGCACGTTCGCCATTGGTTACGATTCTTGGCCATATCCGATAACGTTTCGAGCCATCGATTCGACCTATCTCTCGGACTCCAACGAGGGAGACGTGATGCATCAATCGATGCTAACCTAACACAAATATCCTTCATTACACGACAGCACGTCATGGGCTGACCATATCTCCTCCTTTTCCATCCTGTCTCAGGGCTGGCTAGCGAACAGAAACCTGTACGGAAGCCTCAGGGATGACATTCGCAGCACATGTCCAAGCCACCGACGCCGGTGGTACCAGGTGACGACACTCTATGAATGGTGACCTCCACTGTGTTCAAACACACGCCGCCCAACCTCAGAATTACTCACGCGAATCCCAGTGGGTGCGTACTGCCGATGATTCCCAAACTAGGATGAAACAGCTCTCCAGTACTCCCTGGTTTTCAATGGTTCTCTAACTGATATCAATCTGTGGTCAAACTCGTAAAGACAAATTTATTCTATACAAACCAACTCTTGAATATATATATATATATCCACTTGGTTTTTAAGCATAATTATTTCCTATTTATATTCTGCTTTTGTTTAGAATGCTCCACAGGACATTCAATCATGTACATGGGATGAATTGAATAGAATGATTCAACTTGTTAAAGAAGCTCAAGATAAATTAACAACCAGGTAAATTTTTATTCACAATTACTATATAAATTTGTTATATTCTGAGTAGAAGAACCTGTTAAGTTTCAGCAGCATATCTCCACTATAGCCTTTTCTCTGCAAGCACTTTCAACTTTCCCCATGATTGCACCAAAGCTCTTATTTCCTCGTCGTGTGATCTCCATGTCACAATGGTGGGACTCACACCAAACCCGCTGCCTCCCATTCGGATTCTACCCGACGGGCTTGTCCTGTGATGTAACTGGAAGATCCCCTCAGTGGATGTCCAGTCCACCTCCATTTCTTTCGGTATAATTGCTGGTTAATAGGCTGTTGGTTGGTTCATTGCAGTGCTAGAACTCCTGATTGCTGATCTCTTCTGACCGGCTTTCTAATCTTCAATATCGACCACAGTTAGGTGTTGATGGAAGTATGCAGCTGTATATTGAAAATGCTTTTGTTGATTCACGCGCTAATTCGCTGAACCATACAAAAGCACCGGCACGACATTATTTTTGAAAATTCATATACTGTTCTTTGTGTTAAGTGCTGTGGATAACCAAATCATAAGTAAAAACACAGTTTTTGTTCAGCGAAGAAATTTCTTTTCAATGACTTCATTTTCAAGCTGTACAGTCGTATTTACATTACAGAAAAGGTCATTAAGTGGCACTAAATAATTGCTCAGTCAATATACATATATGTGATAAGAATAACGATTATTAAAATGTTATAAGGGGTAGAGTTGAAGTGGATAAATTACAAAATTATTAAAGATTGTTTTATAAGTGAATTGAAAAATGTTTTAAAAAGGTCAACCAAACTTCCGATCTTCTCTGACTTTAATATCCTCATCCGTGCTGCCCGCATGTAGTTGGAGTGATGCTGGCCTGGTAAGTGGAATAGTCGACTTCTCGCATTTATGATGATTAGTGTTTGCTATCTGCGCCACTTCTCTCTTCACTATATTCCATTGGGATCCTGTCTTAGCTGCCCTTTCCGACAACCTGTTGGATTCTCCATGATTGTCTTTGGGTTTCTGAGGTGGTGGGACATAAATCAGTTGTCAAGTCCAGATCTTCTATGCTAGTGTGGCGTGTGTTACATGGATGCAGATTAATGGGAAGCGGTCAGAAATTGAAATCAACATTTTAAGTAAATGGCTGCTGCAGAGGTAGAAGTGTTTATTCCCCAAATCTGGATATGGCTTACGTTGTGGTCCAGGAAATAATCTCATTGGACAGCTTTTCTGTCCCTTCATTTAGCCTTGGGCTGGTAGTCAAACAGTCAGAAGAGTTTATTGTCCACTAACCTTATTATCATCATTGTTTCTTTTAATTCCTAGAGGAACATAGGGCTTCAGCCGCACGTCTCCATTGCGTTCGGTTCTCTGCCAACGTTTTCACCTGGCTCCACGTCTGCCCACATGCTTTCATCTCCTCTTCACATGACCTCCTCCATGTCACCCTCGCTCTGATGACCGACTTGCCGCTTCCCGTTTGGGTTCCACCCGAGCGATGGCCTGGCGTGTGATGGATGTCACTTGATGGTTTGTTCTCTCAGAGTATGGCCAATCCACCTCCATTTCTTCCTGCTTATTTGTTGCACAGTCGATTCCTGGTTGGTTCGCACATTGCCAGAGATCCCTGTTGCTGATCTTTTCTGGCCGGCCATCTGATCTTGAGTAGTATTGAGCGAAGACAGCTGTTGATGAAAGTCTGTGGTTTGTTCGAAGTGGCCTTCGTGACGCGGCGCGGCGCCAGGTTTCTCATCCTTATAGTAGCATTGACTTCACATTGGAGTTGAAAATCCGGATCTTATTTTCCATGCCGAGTGCTTTTGATCTCCACATAGACTTGAGAGAAATGATCGCTTTTGTAAAAAATTATATTTGTAAAATCTCAACGAGATTGAAATGAGTAATTCCAACGTTTCGTTCGGCAATCTGGTTCGAACTTCTTCAGGAAATTAATCGAAATTACCATAACAAAGGTTTATATATAAAAGGAACATCACTTGTTTTTAAAAACTTTGTCCAATTATGAGTCATTCAACAAGTATAATAAACAAAATTTTATGAGCTGTGATCAAAATTTGACCTCGGACTTACAAATATTGGTCTACCTTTGGTTCTCTAACTGATGTCAGCTCATGATGAAATCCTCCATACAATTAAACAAAATCCCTACCAAACCAATACTTTGTTAAACACTTTAAACAGAGTGTGAATGTGTGTGTGTGGGTAAACAGTTGTAAAACATTTCTTCTTCCATAAGAAGATATGGACAGTCGAGAATTTTGACCAAGTGTTAATAATTAGTGATACATATCCATTTTTTATTTCCTATGCATCAGCTAACATCACGCCTTCATGTCTGTTCAAACTTTTAGTATCTAGAATTTTATGATTAGACGTATTTTCAAAATTATGGTGTTGAGGATAAGAGTTTAGTTGAAACACCCTGTCGAACTTATTGATTTGTTTTGTTTCTGAAGATTGAGCTGCTTTATTCGACCTACTGGAGTTGTCAGGTGACTCGACAGCTACGGATTTAGGATATACATTCTGTTGCAGACAACGGAGTTTGAAAACACAATGATTGTAACAATTACATAGTTTCTTTGTTAATTTAATTCGATTGCAAAATAATAATTCAAATGAACTGTCGTCAAGATTTGACAGAATAGTTCTAAAGTATTTGGGCGCCGAACTATTCTGTCAAATCTTGATGACAGTTCATTTGAAATGAACGCTTGCTTTGCTTTCCCGATGATCCTCGCTTTGATATCCTCATCAGTTCCGTCCGCCTGTAGTTGAAACGATGTTTCCCAGGTAGGTGGTTAAAAGTGTATAAATATGATGTGTTTTTCCTTAGTAAGAAAGTCCGTTACCATTTCTTTTCTCTTCTGCCGTTACACTCGTTTTGTCGATCCAACGGATGCCCGTCTTCTCACTACTCACGGTCTGTAGCACAACCCAGCCTACCGCATTTAATAAGATCACAAGTGATAGTGGGAAGTCTTATCTTGCGCTTGTCTTCACTTCGAAGACCTTGATACAATTCGCGTTATGTACAAACAGTAACGCTTTATTTCAATTACTGAAATATGACTTGGGTGTTTTTCTTTTTTTGCATTTTTGCATCTTCTTTTGTACAGTTCGTTGAGTCAACTAATGATGATAAGAACAAGAACAGGATATTTGGATAGATTAACGGATCGACTTTTGGATTATAGACGTCAAGTAACGTTAGCCAAAACTAGAGTTTCACAAACTCAACACTTGATTGATAAAACAATAAAAGAACAAGAGGAGAAGACAATACAACTTCATCAGCACAGAGAATCATGCATAAAGCTAGTCACCTTTGTAAGTTCTCATTTTCTTCCCCTTCCTCTCCCCCCCCCCACGCCTCTTTTCAATATTTTGATGTAGTTGTATTCTCTGAGCTGGATGGTTTACTTGCGAGGCTTTCCACTGCCTTACTAGGCAACATCTTCAGCGCATACACTTCAATTTGAATTGAAGTGAGCTTTTAAATTTCTCCACGGCTTTATTTATCATCTCTCCTAGTGGAAACCTTGAACCTGACTGGTTGTCTGTTTTCACACCCTCTAGGCTACTTGTATTGGTACTGATTGTTTCCTTAACCTGAAGTTTAACCTTTTGTGTGTGTGCGACTTCCTTCTCTTATGCACTGGTAAATTGTGTCTATTAATTGCCAATTCACTGGTATAGGGCTTCCAAAAATTCTCTGGCGTTCTTGGTGTTTCCTCTGACTAACATTTGAACTTTGTACCACTCGAACTGATATTTGCGGCTGTCTGTATGCAGCGATATGAGGAAGTGGATATGATGTCTTTTGACGGCTAGTTTGAACAATTTGGACAATGTAGCGTTTGCCGCAGTCGTTGCAATTTATTTTGTAGATGGTGTTGGCTTTATCTTCTTTCGCTGTTGAGTCTTTTTGGTTGACAACGTCCAAATATTAACCAGAGGAAATAACAAGAATGCTGGGGAATTTTTAGAAGCCTGACATGCCAGTGAATCGTCAATCAATAGACACATTAATATAGACAAAATTTACCAATCGATAAGATGGATCTCTCGCTCACAAAGGGTAAAACTTCATGTCAAGGATCAAGGACTGATGATTTGCAACATCATACTTAGGGTTGCTGAGGTTAAACCCTCTTTTCTTCCCCTGACAATTGTGGTGTTTGTTTTCATTGCCTTTTATTATCACTAGACAAACATAAAGGAAATAGAAACAAGTATATGTAAACTGTCAGGTGCGACAACAGCGATATCCAAAGAGGAAAGAGTTTATAGAAATATGAAATCATGTCACGTTTAACGTGTGATAAATAAGACATGAATATGCCTAAATCTGTGAAATTAGTTTGGAAACTTTGCTGGGAAGAAAACTCTTCAGTTAGTAGTTTCTGTAACCTTTGGAAATCCATTTTAATTGGATTCACACTTCACATATAGATGAGGAGAACATTGAGATTCACACCACACCTTGATATGATTATCCCTATTTTATCGCGACTGCGTGCTACTTCATGTAACATACTACATCAAGATAACATTAAGTTGTGTGTACGTCAAGAGGCCAGGCTAGAGAATGGGTGATCCAGGGAAGCGAACGTACTAAAAACCTAGCGCGCGATCAGGTGAAGGTAGTGACTGACTGACTGGTTTCAACATAGAACTTTGCACCGATGTGCAGCAGTCGCCACAGTACACTTAGCACACAAAGCAAAAGAAGAAAGCAAAAAGAAATGAATAATAGAAACAGTAAACAGAGATATGAGGCAAAAAGAATAGTAATATCGAAGAACAATACAGTTTTGTTGGGTATTATAAGTCACAAGGAGTGGATGCATCTACGTCAGTCATTGAGAGCGATTTTGAGCCATATCACCAATTGTCTCCAGCCTTCATTGATGTTTACCATCCTGAGGACCTCAACCAGGAAGTCTACACCTTCCTACGTGGCTGCGTAAACTAACTGTTGTGGATTTCATTGACTGATGAAGCAATGTTTTGGTTTGAGCACCAGTGGCTCTTTTCTAATCGTATCCATCCTATTTCAGCTAGCATTGCGAGTCAAGGAAGACGATGGCTAGCCATGTGTAACACATGTGTCCTAACCATCTCAATCGATGTAACTTCACATCCTTGTCTATTGATTCCCCCTCCTTACCTACCACTCGACCGATGCCTAACCTCAATATTACTCACCCTATTATGCCAGTTAAAATGGAAGATAGAATGCAGACACCTATGATCGAAGGCAGCTACCTTATTAGTTTGTTTATTAGGTATATCACACAGTGAAACAGTATTATTTACTGGATGACGTTTCGAACAAAATTTATTGTTCATAATCATATCAATTGTGATCACACGACTTTGACACTTGAGTTTTATGGCTTTCTTTGTTTTCTCCAATTTGTCGTAGGGGGAGTAGAATTTTCCATATATCGGGGACAGGTGATGAATCATTCCTATTACATGTATTTGTAGTTGATTCGATAAACAAAGCTTCTGTTATCAATCTCTCCCTATACCCTGTGACATTAGATTTTAAAACTGTCACCCTATTGTATGGTTGTGTGTGACTGCATGTAGTGCTATAGCTGAACTATTCTCTAGATTTCTTATCTTATTCGGGTCAACCAATCTAGATTTTGCTAAGTTTTTATGTTCAGCTAGTCTGACTGCCCCTGTTCTACTAGTTTGACCTATGTATTTGACCTGACAATCATTGCAGGGTATTAGATAAATTAAATTGTTTTGTTTTAAAGGCTCTATAGGATCCTTTAGCCGACAAAGCTTGTTTCTAATTGAGTTTGTGGGTTTGAATGCCGTTTTTATTCCTGCCTTGTTGAGAATTCTGCATAAAGCTTCTGAGGTTCCTTCCTTGTGTGGAATTACTACTGATGATTTAGATTCCCTATTGTTGGTGTCGTCATCAATATTATTATTATTATTATCACTATTATCATTATCATTATTATTATCACTATCGCTATTATCATTATTTATTTTATTTTTACATTTCCTTACATATTTCCTGACTAATAATAATAATAATATTGATGACGACACCAACAATAGGGAATCTAAATCATCAGTAGTAATTCCACACAAGGAAGGAACCTCAGAAGCTTTACGCAAAATTCTCAACAAGGCAGCCATCGCCTGCCTTTCTCGACGGGCAATCTTAGATGACATAGGATTGATCAGGTTGGAAAAGAGCTAGTGATGGTCAAATCAGTCAATAAAATCCGTAACATTAGTTTAAACCAGCCAGCCACGTAGGGAGTTGTAGACCGGTTGGAGCCCTCGGGATGGTAAGAACCAATGAAGGCTGGAGACAATTGGTGCTGATATGGCCCATAATTGTTGTCGATGATGGCGCAGATGCATTCACTCTTTGTGATTTTTCATATCATATCCAATAAAACCCTACAGTTCTTCCATGTTACTACTCTTCTTTTTCCCTCACTCACACTTCTGTTTATTATCTCTCTTCTATTGTTTTGTGTGCCATACGGAGGGAGAGTCTGGTGTCTCGAACTGGTACACTTCTGTGCAAAGTTCTATACAAAAACCAGTCAGTTAGTCAGACATGCCTACAACTATAGATAACATTTATTTATTTTCCCTATGAAAATTAAAATGGTGTAATAATTAAATTTTTGAATTTTTTTCTTTCTTCATAATTTCACAGTTTGAAGAGGAACTATCCAGGATTTGTAATCGACAAGTTCAAATAATTGGCCAGTTCTGTGATGTATGACAATGATGATGATTATTGAAGTTAATTTAAAACACTTTTTTTCTTTTTATTTCATTTGGATGAATGGCTTTCATTTTCATAATATACATATTCTCAAATGAACTTATTCATCTTTTTATTATTATACGCTGATTAAGTTTATAAACGATGAATAGGATGTCAGTTAGCCCCCTATGACATGTAAATTCATTCTGATAACATTAAGCTGCAGTGTATGTAGGAGTTAGTGATCCTTCGTGACTCCTCCCTCAAGCTTCTAATGCTGTTCTTCAGGTGGCAAGACGACTACACCCACCTTGAAGATAATCTACAAACATTTCCGCATTGACATACAACCAAAGTTATAAACAACCTTCCAGTTTAGTTGGAAATTAACAAGCTTTGACAATCATCTAACTCTTCAGATAGGAATACAGTAAACGTATAGCGTTCCCATGTTTTACTCATAATAGTATGTCTGTCTGGATTCAACATAGAACTTGGCACCGAAGTGCAGCAGTTCGAGTTGCCACGTTCCAAATAGCACACAAAGGTAGACAAGAAAATGAGTGAAGAGAATCAATAGAGTTTTGACAAGTATAAGAGTGAAACAGAATGAGTAATGGTAGAAAGGAATATGAAAGATTAAAGAGACTGAATACATCTGCGCCATTGACAACGATTTTGAGCCATGTCACCTATTGTCTCCAGCCATTGATTCTTAGAGTCCCGAGGGCCCCAACCCGGAAGTCTGCATCTCCCTACCTGACTCAGTTTAACTGTCAAGGATTTCATGGATTGATGAGGCCATGTTTTTGTTTGGCCACCACTTACTCTTTTCCAACCTGCACCTATATCAGCTAGTAATGCCCGTCGGTGAGGGAGGCGATGGTTAGGCATGCGCAGCACGTGACCTAGCCATCTCAATCTATGTAACTTTATAGCCTCGTCGATTGATTTTCCCTCTTTGCCCAACACTCTACGCCTAACGTCAACATTACTTACCTTATTATACCACCTAACGTGAGAAAGAGATCGTAGACATCTATGATCAAAAACAGTCAACCTTTTCATGTCTTCAACTCGTATTGGCCATGTTTCAGAGCCATAGAGAAGGACGGAGCGAACTGATGAGCAGTATACACGTCCCTTGGTTGATAGTCGGATGTCACGCCTACGCCAGAGACGGTGTAAGTTAGCGAAAGCAGCCCGAGCTTTCTGGATCCGTGCTGTGATTTCGTCACCAATCAATCCGTTGGTGCTGATACAACTTCCCAAATAGGTGAAGTGGTCAACATGTTCTATCACTTCACTCCCTATCACTAAGCTAGGGGTAGACGTAGTCCAGTCCTGTAGCAGCATCTTACATTTCACAGGGGCGAATCGCATGCCAAACATACGAAGATTGCTGCTCAAGGTGTTCAGAAGACTCTGCATTTTGTCAGCATCCTCCCCTAACAGGACTATGTCATCTGCATATTCTAAGTCCATAAGACTATTCCCTGGTAACAAGTCGATTCCTAAGTCGTTAAGTTCAGTTAAGGATACTTCCATTAGCATATCTATGATGAAGTTAAACAGAAATAGAATATCAATATATCATAATGTACAACATATCTATGCATCCTCAGGGTCTACTTATTTGTCCAATTAACTATGTGAATGACAATACAGTACTGAAAGTTGACTATGTTAATTCAAGTTACAACATTTTCACTCGGTCTAAAATGACAGTTCCTCCTTCAGAGCTGATGAATGCTTTGCTTTAGAGAAGTACTTAGTTACATTGAGGCAACTTGTATATTAAGAACACAATATTCAGCGAAGAGACTCTTGCCAACAACGAATTTATTATCAAGCTGTACAATCGTATATACACATATGGCTTTTAAGAAATTATATCCGGTGAGGGAATTAGATCAAAGGTGGGAATACAGGAAATAATAATAATAGTAGTATGAAATGCAATTAAAATATTTATGATTATAATCATAGTTAAATGTCAAGTAGCAAAACAATCAATGTCATATATAGAATAATACATAAGATGGATGTATAAATGCTGTTGTGAGGGGTGCATAATTATAGGATTAGTAGGCGAATATAAAATGTTACGTAACATGGTGTGAAATTTGAAAAGATAGAATTCAATATGGTAAAAAGGAAATAATTTTGGATTTAGAATGACAAGTGGAAACTTTTCAGAGTGAGAATAGTAATGATAATAATCGTAGTAATAAGGGAAAGGTACATAGAATAACTAAAGAGACAAAATAAATAAATGTCTATCCCTCTACAGCCACAGCAGAAGTAGGGAATGTACATATTTCTTTTTTACACAAAGGTCTGGCTTAAGTTCAAAAATTGCCAAGGCGTCCGCTGTCTTTAGAAGTATATAACGAAGAAAATGCCGCCAACAAGTTAGCATGGATTCTATATATGATCTTAAAATCATGGTGAGGGTTGGCAGAGTGACAGGAGTCGATCAGGTGTTCTAGAATAGAGCTTCGCACTCACTTCCTTTCTCCCTTGTAAAACCATGCAGCTGGAATATGTTCTCGTATCCGTGTGGGGAGCTACGGCCAATGTACCTTGTTCCACAAGAGCAGGTGAACTGATAGATGCACATGGAGCTTATCTTTCACAGAGATGGAGAACATTTTGCGGCTGGCGAACGTCATTTATAATTTTACTGCAAAGAACGTCTTACTGACTGCTTTAGCGAGATGGTTTTTGGACAAATCTGAAGCTTGATCATCTTTGAATTCCAAGTTCATGAATAAGATTTTTTTGGAACTGAGTCGGCGACCAGTTTAGACTGCTTATCTTTCGTATTACTCTCATAAGTAGGTTCGGGTAACCATTTTCTACCTTACCAATTTGCCAGAGACTTATAAGCTTCCTCACTACCCCTAAATATACTAGGTGCATTGGGTCAAGAGGGAAGCACTTAACCATATCAATGTTTAATTCCTCAAAAACACACTGTTCACGGTGGTGAACAGTCTTAACTAAAAAAAAGGAGATGCACATAAACCGGCCCACGCTTGAAAACATAGACGGGGAGGTATTAACTTGTGCTAGAATGACACTCCGGGACTTCCCGAGAAATTGTAGGGGGCTCACTGAAGTCAGTCGGCAGAAGGCCACTGAATGTCGCATCTTCCTCCTGTACCTAGGACCCGTATTACTTAAGGACACTATGCCACCCAGAATATACTGTAACTTCCAGAGACTTAGTTTAGCAGTTTACCTCCTTCCTGTCTCACATAAAGTTTCATCGCAATTACTTGGAAGGTTGCAGAGATGAGAGTTAGTCAACTTCCTCAATGAGTTTGAAGTGATTTATGGCAGGGAGCACTTAGTTTATAATATTCATTGTCTGCAACACCTAGTGGAAGATGTCCATGAAATGGGACCTTTAGAATCTTTTTCGGCGTTCCCATTTGAATCTTATATGCAGACAATTAGGCGCTCTATACATTCTAACAATGCGGTAGCTAAGCAGGCGGCACAAAGATTTGCAGAAAAGGTATTTCACGACTGCAAATCAGGAGCACTACACGAAAAGGTTCTAAATCAATGTGAAGTGGATGTAGATAGGCAAATAATTCACACCAGGCGTACAGTTATCACTTCATCTTCACCGGATAACTTCGTTATAGCCTACAGTAAACCTGGTCTCATAACGCAGATACACAAGGAAGTACTAACATTCAGGCCTTATATAGATGCTTGTGATTTCTTCGATCAGCCATTTAAGTCATCCCACATTGGGATATGGAAATTCTCCAAATTTAGCCCCAAAAAGCTAGAAATTCTGCCGTCAGTTATTATTTGTATGTGCTTCTGTATTCGTACAGACAAGTATGAAGTAGCAGTGCCGTTGCCTCATACTTTTCCAGAAACTGCTTAAATTGATTGCGTCAACCGTCGATATTCCTGTATTCAATGACAAGTGGACTAATAAGACTGTAAATTTTGTTTATATCATATTTACTTATTTCTTACAGAGCGAAAAGAAGACTTACGCGCTGTGGTAACAAAACCTGGTACAAAAGAATTCTTCATAGTCACCAGAAAGTGGGTGCTTTCGGATGACATGTGTGTGTATCACATCGATGTAACAGATTCTGAAGTTGAAGCATGCACAAGGTCTAGACCGGATTGGCTCTTTATTTCCTGTCAGATGTTAGCTGAGCAAGGTAACTGTTTCGGCATTAACTACATCCCCGTAATTAGACTCTTTTCTAGAAGCCAAGAGTACTTGGTCGACTGTAAGACGAATGCACAATATCCTATCCAATTCAGGTAATCTTGAGGAGACATTGCCCCTAAACAAATGCCAAACGTCAAAGGTAGATTATCCTAATTGGTCAATGACAGAATACAGAGTGCAGACGAAGAACTTCGCATCATACGTTTATGACTCAGCTGAACTGGAAGCAGTTGAGGCACAGAAAGTGTGTGGGCCATCTACTAAATACCCTAACAGCAATTATTTCATGGAAACTGTGATGGCCCTGACAGCCAGGTGGCGCATTCATTTCATATTCTTATTCCTTCAGCACTTCCAGTCAGTCCACAAATGCCAATGGCGACATCGTCACCAATCACACAGCCAATTAGGCAGACTACGTATGTCATTTTTAATCACTGGTTACTTTGTATTAAGGAAAACACTGATTCCAATGATAAAGTGGTTTCTCAGTTACAGTCCCTTAAAGGAGAAATGTGCAGTCGTTTGGTAAACAGCTAACGCAGTCGGTCTCATCAAATAGGTCGGGCGACGTGACCATTTTGGGTACCGGGAAAGCGTCCATTGACACTAGTCAACTAGAATTCCCCTTGTCGACTGAAGAAGAGTTTAACCAAATGGAAGCATCATTGAAAAGCCCAAAATTCGGAGATTCATTCTTAAGTTTACAATTAACCTTCGATTACGTTTAGATGACGAAACTGGTTGGTAATTCATCGTTCAATCCGCAGCCTTCGTTGAGACGAATGCTGAATCACATATGGGAGCCTAAGCTATCAAGTCGCCTCACAGCGTGCGGAACACCTCAAAAAATGCTGCTTCTATAAAGTTATAACATGTAAGCTTGCTTTATTTAAATATTCCCT